TGGCTTGGCAGCTCTGCCAACTTGCTTGGCCCTCACTGACCCTGGGACCCCAGACTCAAGGGTCAGGGCTGGCCCTGGATGCCCAGGCAATGGGGCCTTGCTGAGAGGCAGGGATGCCCAGGCGGGCCTTGCAGGCCGGGTGAGAAATTGGGCTTTATCCTGGGGCAGTGGGCAAGTTATCTGGTGGCGGTTAAGCTGGAGAGCAGTGTGGTCCTTCTGGTTACTGCTGGGTGAGCAAGATTGCGGTGGGGAGGTGGGTTAGGAGGCCCTGCTCCCTGGTGCCTACACCGTAGCTCACAGCCCAGCTCATGCCTGACCAGCAGAGAGGTGACTGTCTCTCCAACTGTGTCCTGTCAGCCCTCTGAGCTGGGAGAAGAGACCTGTGCTCCTGGTTCTATGGCATCGAATTCTGCCAGGAGCCTCCAGGGCTCCCTGCAGCTGGTTGGCAACATGGGCATGCTCCACCCAGCCCCAGCCTGGGCTCTGCCCACTCCTCACCTACAGCTCCTTTGGCTGCTATGCCCTGACCCCTCCTCACCTCCCTGGGGCCAATGGAAACTCCTTTCAGGCCCAGTTCAAATGTCACTTCCTCTGAGACTACCTTCCGGGTAGTCCGGGCATGGAGGCCTCCCCCTAGCACTCCCAGCATGTGGCAGCTCAGCACTCACATTAGCTGGGTTTGTGGTCAACGTCGCGGTGGGTCCAGAACACTGTGGAATGGCAGGGTCTGGCCATCTCCAGCAATCCAGGGCTCAGCACCATATGCAGCATTCAGCGAGGGATGGAGGGAGGGAGGAAATAGAGTGTCTGGGACAGAGGGACCCAGAGGGGATGGAGAAACCAGCCCCTACCCTGGAGTCACTGAATGTTGGAGCTATGCAGGCCTCGAAGAGCCTCCCTTCTGTCTTTCCTGGTGGGGGAGTGGGGAGAGGCTTGGTCTCCAGACAGGCCCACAGCAGCACCCGGGGCCTGCCCACCAGACCTCTACTGTTCGGCACTCTTGTTGTGGGTCTGTGAACTTCTCTTTGGGGTGGCACAGAGGAGCTTGTCCTCCCCCAGCATGAGCTTGGGTGTTATACAGGGTGGGCAGAGAGCCAGCCAGTGTGTCCTGCCCACCTGGAGTGTGTGGCCCCTCTATGGAGTCCTTGCCACTGTTGAAGTCCTGAAGCTCAAAGCTTCCTGGAGAAGACTTTTCCACTCATCCATCATCCATCTTCCATCCATCCATCCATCCATCCATCCATCCATCATCCATCCATCCATCCATCCATCCATCCATCCATCCATCATCCATCCATCCATCCATCCATCCATCCATCCATCCATCCATCCATCCGACCATCCCCACGCTGGGCAGGGGATGGCTCCCCAGACTGACCCTCACCCCAATCCTTCCAATGTTAAAGCACTTCCACATTTGTGGCACCACCTCCTAGTGCCTTGGGAAGGAGGCAGGGCAGGAGCTTCGAACCTTATTTTGCAGGTGAGGAAACAGAAGATCGAGAAGCGAAGTGGCTTGGTCCCAGCTGCCAGGCTGACCCCTGGAGAGGTTTTAGAGCTGGGGCTCTGGAGTCACAGACCTGGCCTATGCTGAATACTGGCTCTGCCACTTAATTGCCGTTTGGCCTGGAGCTTCTCCTCTCTGGGCTTCACTCCCTCATCTGAAAAAAAGGGGAACGCTGATCCCCTCACAGGGTAGATATAAGCATCAAATGAGGTAGAGCTTGGAAAACGCTCAGCAAAGTGCCTGGCACACTTGGGGCACCCAATAGTTGGAAATATTATTAATGCTAATTCAGATCTTCTGCCTCTTGCTCTACTCCCCGCACCCCACCTTTCTAAGGATGAAAGATAGCAGCTGGCAGTGGGAGGTGGTTGCTTTAAATATGAGCTGAGAACAAAAGGAAAATAGAACAGGGCATGGCTCCTGGCTGAACTTTTAAGCACCACCCCAAACTTGGGGAGGGCCTGAGGGATACAGCGGGATGCTGCTGCTTCCTGTTGTAAGGAGCCTTCTTCACAGCTTGGTCACTCCTGCAGGGGGATGTCACTGGGTTGGGCTAGGACCCCAAAACCCCAGAAGACACACCCCTGCCACCTGCAGGCTGTTCTCCAGAAGGGGAAGTGGGCTGAGTGGGAATCCGGAGCTTCTCCACATCGCTTCCCAGGCCACATGCAATATTCACAGGCCCCACGGGGAGCTTCAAAGGCAGCGCCCCCCTGGCAGCATCCCCCTGCTGTGGTTGCCATGGGCCCGTTACCCAGTCCTCGCCCTTCACCTTCTCACACTGCCGCCTGTCGACCCGGCTCCCGTGAGGCCTACGGTTCCGTCTGTGCAGCCCAGTGGGGGACCAAGGCTCCACTCTGACCTGGCCGGGGCTCACTGCTCGCCCAGCACCGGGACAGGGCCCCGAGGGTCGGGCCAGTGACCTGCCCCCCCCATGGACTCTGGCTGGGCCCGGCAGAAAGGGTTGAGGTGTTTGTGGGGAGCCGCCACTCCCCCCCACAGAAGGTAGTGGAGAGGCGGGCAGGGCAGTGCGGGCTGGGGCCCCTGACCCTGCTCAGTAAGTGCTCGGGCTGCTGAGGTGCGAGCGGAGGCAGAGGTGCAGCCCGAGGGAGAGGCCAGGAGCAGATGGACGGAGGCACTGGAGACAGGCATGGGGACCCCAGCTCTCGGCAGGGAGGGAGTACCCAGAAGGCCTGTGGGTGCAGAAAGCTGGGATGGTGGAGGCTGCCAGGTCTGGGCTCAGGGCCTGGCCACTCACTTCCCAGATGGACCCTGGGCAAGACAGCTCACCCTCCAGGCCTCAGTGTCTTTATTTGTAAATGGAACAGTGATCACCACCTTGGAGGCCTGTTGAAGATACAGGACACGTGGTCATCAGGGAGGGAGCCCTGTGCCTGCTAAGTGGGGGACCCTCAACAGAGGGACATTTCTTCCTCAACCCCAGCAAACCCTTCACCTTCCACCCTCTCGCAAACCCCACTCCCAACTCCCCCACTCCCTGAACATCTCAGCTTCCTCACGCCGCCTCTTTTCTGCACACGCTGTCCCTCCCTTGACTGATGGTGCTTCCCCTGCATCCAGCTCAACCCACCCCTCCCCTGTGCCCTAGGCAGGGAGGGTTGCTCTCTTCTCTGAACCCCTCATCCCCCTGAACCCCACCCTCTCTCTTCTGCAAACAGATGCTTTCAGTGTGTCCTGCTTTACTGCTCCTGGGTCTGTCTCCCTCATTAGACCACGAGCCATTTGCCCCAAGGATGGTGCATTCATTGCCCTGTCCCCTGCCTTTGCAGCCCCATCAGCAAAGCTTGTTGAACCACAACCATGGGCCATGAGCAGGGAGGTCCCCGTGAGGAAGGTCAGGGTGACTGTGGGCAGGGAGAGGAGGGAAGAAAAGTCACTGAGATCAAGAAAAAAAATCCCGGGCCCAACAGGGAGCAAGGGGTGGGGGTAGGAGGGTAGAGGGCGAAGTGGGGAAGGGCTACAATGTCACGTTTGCTAGGGCCAGCCCTTTACCAGGCGGATCTTGAATTTCCACCTGGCCCTGAGGGAGCTGGTGTCAGCACCGCGGCCACAGGCAGAACAGTAGCGTGCCCTTCCTGCTCGCACAGGCCTCCGTCTCCCGGCAACCTCAGGAGGCTGTTGCTTTTTACCCCCATTCTACAGATAAGGCAACCATGGCACAGAGAGGTTAGGGGAGCAGGGCTGGGCCCGAGCTAGATTTGTGGACCTCAGAGCCCACACTCCCCGCCACCCTGCTTTGGTAGGGCTGGGCCAGCCTCACTTTTCAGCTCCACATGTGGCAGATTGGAGAGAACAGATGCAAAGCAGGCGGTTAATGATCCATAGCTATTCCAGGCCTTGGGCCCCCTCCTTTCATTCCCATCTGCAACTTGCCAGTTTCTCTGGTGGCACATGGGGGGGTGCAGGGCTCGGCCAGTGCAGGCATGAGGTCAGCAGCTGCCCACCTACTGCCCCATTGCCCTGCCTCAAGTCCCAGAGGGCTGAGATCCCAAAAGCTACCCGAGCGGATGGATGGGGGCAGTGACCTCGACTTCTCGTTCTTGTCTGCCCGCTGCACTCAGCTCAGGACCCGCAACAGCAGCACCTCCAAGGAGCATAAGCTCCCGAGTGAACCCGTGGAACTGCCCCTTCTGCTCGGCCACCCTGGTCTCTGTCTGAGCAAGCTTTAGCAGCCGCAGGATGCCGCCCAGCAGATCTTATTACAGTGGACTCTCGGCCTCACCGGGCCTTGACTGGGTCAGGTGCCAGGACTCCCAGGCCCACGTGTCCTGGGGGAGCATCTAAGGAGAGGGCCCCATGGGTGTGAGGAAGGTGGGCTGAGGACAGGTGCCCCAGCTCTGCCCATGTGCAATGTGGCCCCCCACCCTCCAGTTACTTGGCTTCTGCATTCACTCCCAGGTGCCTCAGCCTGCAGCCTCTCCCCTCCCCTCCCCCGCCCCTAAGTCCCACTCTCCTTTGGAGAGTTGGCTTTCAGGCCTTCCCTTACTCCCGGGCTGGGTGCAGAGCCCCCTTTCCTCCTCCCAGAATGCTGACAGGCTTTTTCACGTCAGTTCCACACTGTTGGATGACTGGGTTTGGTGTTCCTCCCTGACCTACTATGAGCTCCTGATCCTGATCACCGAGGGTGGGGTCTGTGGCTTTTCCATCTTTGCATCCGCACTCCTGGGGCCTAGCACTCAACAGCTGCTGAATAAACACCTTTGAATGGAACTAAGTTATACGAGACTGAAACGTCTTTACAGTAGCTCAGTCTGGCCATCAAGGGAATCCCAGTCAGTGTACATATGGCCCCATCCAACTGCACTCAGCCCGAACCCAAGAGGTAACAGGGAGGGGACAGGGTCAGGAGTTGTGCCTGGGCACATGCTTCCCAGCAGCCTCGCTGTCCAGCCAGAAGTTTCTCTGGGTTCCTGGGATACACCAGTCTGAGGATCCTGATCACGTCTTGCCCAACCTCAAGAGGCTGTAGATCGAGTGAGTTTTTTCCATTTTAATTGTAAAAACCAAGACATTTATATAAATAAGACCGCTATGGAAAATAGGATTCATCCTTCTACTAAAACGCTTCTCCCACACTCAAAAAGAATATAGAAAACCCAGCAGAGATAAGAAGTACAAATTAGCATGCGGTCCCTGATGAGAAGTAACTGGCAGGCCAGGTTTCCCTGCTGAAACAGGCCTCGCGGTGAGTGCACTCCTGGCCCAGGCGGCTCACCAGAGGCTCAGTGACACCTGGAGGCTCAGTGACACCTGGAGGAAGTGCTGGACGGCAGTTCCCACGCCCTCAGCCACTGGTCCCAACTGCGCTGGAGGCAGTGGGAAAGGTTCACAGAGCCTGGCTGCTGGGGAGGAGGAGGGGATGGGAAGGCTGCTTGGTCCTCAGGCTGAAGCCGGGTGGTGGAGCTGTTGGCCCAATGAGATGCAGTGGTGGTTCAGCCTGGGGTCAACTTGGGGAAGGGCTTCTGGGGAGTTACCACTTCTTCAGAGGACAGAGAGGAGCTGCTGGTGCCCCTGGGGAGGAGAGGCTCCTCCTTGGGGCCATTTGCATATGGTCAGTAAAGACATGTGCAGGGGGCACCTGACAGCACGCTGGGGTGGAAGGCAGGGGGCTCCCGGATGCAAGCAGGTGTAGCCCCAAGAGAGGTGGGGCTGGCACGTCTTTGTGAGAAAAGTTCCACCTCCCCACCCTCCTCCTACCCTGTCACATCTGCCACCCTCCCCTGCATCGAGACCACTGCCTACTGCCCCCTTCACACCCTGGGACCCAGAGTGAGATGGCTGGGAGCCTGGGGATACAGATGTTGGTAAGTTCACACACTGGGCATGGCTTAGGACACTGGTACACAGGACAAAAGAAAGGCCCCATGCTCTCCTTCAGAAAACTAGGACCCTCCTGGGGCTGCTCCCCACGCCAGATGGATGGCAGGAGAAGGCCCCGCAGGGTCGGGGGCAGGGGTAGGGGACAGTGTCAGGAGCACTTCCAGACACACACAGCCAGGGTCCCCCCGAAGTACAGGTAGAGGAGGTTCTTCACCTCATGTGTGATCTCAAACCCAAAGCCCTCGCCGATCACCACATGCCAGGAGGAGCCGAACTTCTTGTCCATCGCCTCCTTGATCATCTTGGCGGCACTCTGGAATGAAGAGGGCGCTCGTTAAGGGGTGCGGGGGGGGG